TAGGGAAGAAGACTAAGAGGCAAGGACAGAGTACGATGGGACATTTACACAGTCACTATTCTTTTGTTTACAAAAGCCTCTTTGTAGAAAGTTAAGAGAATAGCATTATCTTTCTTCACTGAGCAGAGATGAAGCAGCATTGCCAGCGATACCTTCTGTTCTCAGCCAAACCTTTCATTTATCTTGCAAGCTGCCAAAACTAAACCTGGCAACAATCTGATTTTAGAACACAGAGGCCCCAACACAGGATGTGAGTGCCAATTATATTAGACAGCTGGAAAAAATAGAGCAAAATCACAAAGACTTTTTAAAAGTAAAATCAACATGAGGGTTTTAAGCTATTCTTATAACACCATGCACAGGAGCATATGCATAATAATTTTTTTAACCAGATGTTCTGTAGCAACTTTACAGAAACACGGACAACACTCAACTTGCTATGTGCTCTTCATGGAATGGTAAATATTCTATAAGGGGAGGCAGAAACCACACAATTCATGTAAATAGGAAAGAAGAAAGGAATGTAAGAGTCAAAAAAAACCCCTGGAAATACATCAACACAGTAAATACACATTACTGCAATGAGAAACATCTTCTTACTGAACCTTTTACGCATTTTGGGCAAAATATCCAAGTTCAGGGCTGCTGCCACTGAAAATATCTCTAAAAAGCCAGAACAAGATGAGTTTGTATGAAAGCATCAGCATTTTGATTTAAAAATAGCAATAAAAGCAAAAGTATAACATTCACAATAATTGAGACTGTTAACTGGGACAAAGCACCTAATCTGTTTCATCCTGACAATAGTTCCAAGATATAAAATGGCTAGTAAAGAGGGGTGTGGAGGCAGATTTGACCAGATGTGAGCTTTCTTTTCTGCTTTGCTTGATCCATCCAGAATGCATAAAAGAATCTTTTTGACCAGTTTAATATGGACTCAAACGTCAGAAGTAGATAACAGATTCTTTGTTCTCCACATGGGCACAAACCAATCCTACTTCATCTTAAACTATATCCCCCTCCATCTAAGCTTGTCATAGCTGAAAGGAGAAGCAGATATCTCATTGGATCCTCACCTCTCAGAGACCTCTAAAAGCATAATTTGAAGAGGGGTAATGCATCTAATTACAGGAAAAAACAGAGACGACGTAACAGGACTCTATCCTATGTAGAACATAAACAGATATTTCGCTACCAATTTTACGTGTGCAAAGAAGGCTCCAATATGTTTCTCTCCAGATGTTCTTTTTCTACATAGAAGTCTCAAAAGTGGTTAAAAGCATCACCAGAGGCTATGACTGGGCTACTGAGGTTTCCAAAAATCCCGGACAGTGCAGCTGCACAGGCAAAGAAGTGCATCTAGAGCCCATGTACAATAAGCCTACAAGGAACTACCAATGCATGTACACTTATTTCTACCTAAAAATACAACAACCTCGTTTGCATATGTCATATCAGATCACAAGAATTTTGCAATCTAATACAATCAATCGTATTTAGATTGTTCCTTAGTATTACATCTTTTTCTTACCCGTTATGAAAAAAAATATTTTAAAAATGTAGAAAGTATTGAGAGATGTGTACATTTGTTGGCTTATTTGCATACATGCTGCAGAACTGTCATTTGTACAGGTTACTGGTATTCTGGCATCTATCCATAGAGTAATCAAACTTTGTCTTGCTGGTTTATTTAGCTACAGATCTGTGCATTTTCATGTAAGTCAGTGTCAACAAGCTTTAAAAAAACTGAATTAATTCATTCTAGCAGATTAGTATGTAGTTTTTGTGATTCGTAAGAAACTTTATGTATTGCATCAATGCATCTAAACAGATGGATATTACCTCCAAAACAACTTGATTTACGTGACATGATTTATGAACTGTAAGACACAGCACACAAGAATCTATAAACTAAGAACTGATCTTAGTAAAGGACTAAGAAACAAGAAACTCCCATATTCTCATCCTGCTCTGAGAATGAGTTCTTGCCCTACATGTCAGATAATCTCCCTTTCTCTTGAATGAGGGATGAATCTTGCTGCCTGGGTTTTTCAGAAGAATTAATGTCCACATATTTTTTAAAAAATATGATCATAACATTTTAGACATCTAGGAAACTTCAAACAGCAGAACTGAAAGAGAATTTTAAAAAAATTGTCAAGAAATAACTAGAGTGTTAGAGGAGTAGGTAGCTGAAGAGGTTGCAATGTTAGCAAAGCTGTGTAGAAAATACCTGTTTTTGTTAACGGGCTAGAGAACAGCTGCTGAAGAAGTTTGTTCTCTGAAGTTCGCAACACCACCACTACGTCAGCTGGAAGAGTGTCTCTGTTCTTCTCAAGGAATGCACAAGCATCATATAATACCTAGCATGGGAAACAGAATCAGAAAAGTTGCCAAAAAGGGTTACCCAAAAACTACTATGTTTTTTAAAATGTGAACAATCAAGATGACCTATTAGACCAGTTAGTTTGGTTCTGACAAGCCAATGAATTACCTGCAACGGACTTAAAATTGTACAGCTACAGCAGTGTCTTCAAAATGTGAACTGGCTACAAACAGCACCTACATTCATAGCACGTCCCTGCGCATCAAATTGGGTTAAATGGCTTAAATCATGTTATGTTATGCTTTGTCACGTCAAACTATGGGATGCATGATGCAATATAACAGAGATACCTCATTAAAGCTTGAGTTGACAGTTTACGTATGAAATAAGAAATGGTTCTCAGGTGGTCATCATCTATTTGTTGTCTGCACCAAACTTGTGGCCTATAACTAGACCTGTTGGAGGAACAGGAGTAAGCTGCATATCTAGGTACATTAAAATAGGCTGCTCACTGCTTCGAAAATGATAGCAGGAATAAAAAACATTAATCTATTTCAATTATTTTAATTGTTTTCATTATAAATTAATGCATGGCTGTTCATATTGATATAAGAATCAGTTAATTTTGCTTTTTTTGTTTGTTTGTTTTTAAATTGCAGTAATTTTTTAGACCTGTTTTATTATCACTAGCAATATTCCTCTCTAGCCTAATTCCACTGGAGTCCATTAGTTTACACAGAAACTGAATGTTCTACTGCAATAGAGAACTAGCCAGTAGTGTTTTTATGACTTGGCCATTTGGGAACAAAGAATTTACTAAACCTGTGTGAAATTTTACAGTTATTCTTAACAAGCCAGAAAGCTGAACGAAGTTTACTAGTATGTGTCTTAAAATTTTGGAGTCTTATAATGAGCCAGAGATGAGACTTCATTGATAGCTATATAAAATATGGCTATTTCATTTTGATTTTATTTATAAACAAAGATTTGGACCCCAAATCACAAGCAAAGCTCATGTTATGAGAAACAACTGTATCACTATTCCTCACATAAAACAACACATGAACTGCTGAGAACAAAAGAAGTGCTGCAGAGTACAAGAAAACACCTGTTCTAGCCAGCTCCAGTCTTTCCAATGCTCTCTAAAGGGTTTTAAGTTCTATTACAGATGCCGTTTTACATTGCATTTTATCTGTATACTTATATACACTCACACACAGAACTACTATGGCATTCACATGATGTTAACAATTGCGTAGCCTGTTCTGGCTCCAGAGAGTTGCTCCTTTGAAATGACTGCAGCAATGGTGTTTCTGGTGCCAGATTTCTTTCAGAATAAAAGGTGGTTGTCGATATAATTTATGAAAGAGCGCCAAGGATACGTTCTAAAATGGGCTACTACACATGAAAATTTTATCATAGATTCTAGGTTTCTGTAAACTTTACCATTTTGTCTCTAAAAATCAGAAAAAAACCCACAAAGTGAAAACTTTGGATAAAACACATAATCAAAGGATCATAGAACGGTTAAGGTTGGAAGGGATCTTAAAGATTATCTAGTTTCAACCCCCCTGCCATGGGCAGGGACACCTTCCATTAGATCACATTGCTCAAAGCCTCAGCCAACCTGACCTTGAACGCTTCCAGGGATGGGGCATCCACAACTTCTCTGGGCAACCTGTTCCAGCGACTCACCACCCTCAGAGGGAAGAATTTCTTCCTTAGATCTAATTGATATCTACTCTCAGTTTAAAGTCATTACCCCTTGTCCTATCACTACATACTTTTGTAAACCTCTCCAGCTTTCTTGTAGGCCCCCTTTAGGTACTGGAAGGCTGCCAGAAGGTCTCCCTGGAGCCTTCTCTTCTCCAGGATGAACAACCCCTACTCTCTCAGCCTGTCTTCATAGCAGAGGTGCTCCAGCCCTCGGACCATCTTCATGGCCCTCCTCTGGACTCATTCCAACAGATCCAGGTCCTTCCTTACAGACCTGAAGGCAGTATTCCAGGTGGGGTCTCACGAGAGCAGAGTGGGAGAATCACCTCCCTCGACCTGCTGGCCACGCTTCTTTGATGCAGCCCAGGATATAGTTGAACCACTGTTATTTGAATTAAAAAAAAAAATCACATGGCCTTACCTTTCCAGCATAGTGTTGAATACCAAATGACAGTTCTACTCCTTTTGGTCTCCAAAAGTATTTGCATCGTAAGTTATCTTCAAATTTATCTAGACATTAAGAAAAGACATGGATATAAGTGGCTTGGAGAGACTCAGTAAAATCTTCATCCTAATTAGGGACAGCTTGCTGTTCAAGAACCCAGAACTACAATAAACATATATTATCAGATGCTCAGAAATAACTGTGTGCCAGCTTCTCTGTGCTTTCTTCCAAGCTGCCACTTCTGACTCGAACAACTCATTCTAAACTAGCCTAGTAAGACTGTCTTTCAAATCCCATTGTTTGTGAACAGTTTTCTGCATGGAAAACTATCAAATAAGAGAGGTCAATGAGAAGGTGTGATGACTTCTCATATTTTGCTATGAATTTGCTTATATATTTTAATAGGGTTTCAGGTGGGTTTATTTCAACTATGTCCATTCAAAGCTGTGCATATATCTCACTTGCTTAAATGTCTTTTATTTGTATTTTCCCTCTCTTCCTTTCCCCGTTCATTTAGCTTTGTGCATCATTATTTAAGTATATGTTAATGTCTTCCAGCTGGGACTATCTCTCATTTACCTTTGGACTTCTACAGAAAAAGAGGTTTCTATCTAAAACCTCCTCGAAAGAGGCTTTCTGCTTCCTATGACTACCTCTAAAGAGCTGACAAAAAAGAAACACCACTTTCTAAGAAAAATGTCTTTTATGCCCTGTGATATTTTGTATCCTCTTTAATGTTTTGTAATGGAATTAGTGCTGATACTGCAAAACTTGCTATTACATTTCTTTACCTGAACAAGCAACTACAGACCTGAGGCCAGAATCAATTGATAAAATTCTCTGTCATGTTTTGTAGGTCAGAAAATACTATCAAAATGTTTTTTCTAATGTTAGAATCCATTAATATTTTGTGTTACGTTTTTCTTTCTATTAATGTTCAATCAAGCTTGTATTTAAAGCAAAAAGAACTAAGTCTGGATTTTGGTGGGGGGCAGAGAGAATGGTGGAATTAATGATTGTCTGGCACATCTGGAGAGGGCAAAATATCCCACTTTGCTGTCTCCCTGACAGATCCTGCTGTACTGTGTACAACGGAAGTAAGACTCATCAGCATTGGACCAAGGAAAGTGCCTCTGTGAAAGTGTAACGACAATATTCAGCAGGCACATAGCTTTGGTACACAAATGAGGACTGGAATGAAACCATAGCATTTATTGTACGTGTGACCTAAATTCAAGTTTCAACTCAGCCTAGCAGAAGTGAAAAATTTTGTACATATATTGTGCAATTTAACAGGCAGCTGTTATTTTTCTCTGACTAAGAATTTGAGCCTCTGCTGTACATTCCATTGAAAGAAATGGAGCTCTCTGTTTCATATCGCAGGGAGAAATGTAGCTCTAGTAAATAAAAGCAAGATAACAGTTTTAAACATGGCACGTGCTGCACGTTTCAAAGTAGGCACCAAGATTTTTTAACATATATGAAAAGTATGCATGAAGGAAGGGAAATATTCAGCCAGATGACACACCAGAAATAACATACACATTCTATTTATGATGAGACAATCTAGAGTGAAGCAGTATTTTCTGATTGGATAAACATGGGCCTAGGAGATGTAAATTTTACTCTCGACACTAATGCTGCTCACAGAGTGGTCCTAGACATAAGACTCTACTATGTCTCAGCCTTCTCTTCAGTAAATGGGGATAAATGCTGCTTGATGCACCTCACACACAGGGACAAGACACAGATTATTTCCTAGTAACTGGAAAGACAATAAGTCCTTGACACCTGATATATAAGATAATTTTTGCAACAAAAGAACAGAAAACATGTAAGCAGAGAAAAATGATGAAGCACAATGAAAACTATACTTAAAATGTCAAATGAAATGGCACAGCCTCAGCAGGACAACTAGGCTAGTAAAACTTGAATAAAGGTGTCATGCTGGCCTCTCAAAATGTATTTGTTATTTCCCAGTATTTTCTTTGCACATACCAACTAAAGTTAGGTCTGTTGCCTGAGGAAATCGACTTTCTTCATCGAGAAGAGACAGAAGACCCATGGGTTTCTGAAGGAACATATCTAGAAGCGGACGGTTGTCCTCGTACTCCACTGTAGTTGCATCAATTCCCTCACTCTGATATTCCACCTACAAAGTCACCAGCACAGTTTTAATATTGAATCAGTAAAAGCAACATCATCATTAGGAAATTTATGATGCACAGCAATACACTGTAGGTCTCCAACAACATTATTTACAAAACTTCGACTGAAAGATGTCATTATCTTGCATTTAAATCACATACCCACTTTATAGTTTTGAATGTACTCCTGAATATCATAGAATCATAGAATCATAGAATGGTTAGGGTTGGAAGGGACCTCAAAGATCATCTAGTTCCAACGCCCCTGCCATGGGCAGAGAAATCTTCCACTACACCAGGTTGCCCAAAGCCTCATCCAACCTGGCCTTGAACACTTCCAGGGATGGGGCATCCACAACTTCTCTGGGAAACCTGTTCCACTGCCTCACCACCCTCAATGTAAAAAATTCCTTCCTTATATCCAGTCTAAATCTCCCCTCTTTCAGTTTAAAGCCATTGCCCCTTGTCCTATCACTACACGCCCTTGTAAAAAGTCCCTCTCCAGCTTTCCTGTAGGCCCCCTTTAGGTACTGGAATATGATCTATGGTTCAGGACAGCTGATTCAACTAGACCTGATCAGAGTTGAATTTACCTGCTCAAGTGCAAAGATATGTTGATTGAAATAAAACTGGATCTGTTCATTAGCAATATTTATGCACAGCTGTTCAAAGGAATTTCTTGCGAAGTTCTCAAATCCAAATATGTCTAGTATCCCAACATTCATCCCATTTTCAGCATTACTGCATGTGAAAATACAAACAAAACTAATCACGGGCAACATCAAGTTAAAATAAAAATAAACATGTTAACTAAGATTGCATAATTGATTCAATCTGCTGCAAAAAGAGCAGAGAAAAGGTATGTTTGAACCTAAGACAATTTGTGCGTAATACTTTTGTTTTCCACTTGCTTCTTGCAAATTTCCATGAAGAAGGCAGGAGAATCATAGATGCACAGTAACAGACACTTAGCAGCCATATTAAAACAAGTGGTTTCAATAGACAGATCCCCAGATCTATTGTCTGCTCCTCCAGGTAGACAAAAGGTGTCACGTTTTAATAGTATGTTTTTGCTACATACAGTCAGAAGGGTAATTACCAAGTCTGCTGCTGCTACAAGCTGGGCTGTTAAGAGCCCATGTGCTGGCTCAAGTATACTCATGCCACAGTCACCACTAGCACTGCAAGTATGGATGAAGACATGTCTATATGATACTGTGAAGTGCCAAGTAGAGATCTCAGATCAGAGCCATTTTCACATCACCTAAGGGATTCTCTTGTTTCTAAAAATCTCTACAGCTGCTTGAAAAGACCAAAGCAGCCAGATCAGTACCTAGCAATGAAATCATAAGGATGCACAATGTGAATGTTTCTATAACTACGAAAAACAAAAAAATCATCACTTACACCTCAAGTAGGAGAAAAATAATAATCCGAGATCTGTATTTACTACCAGTTTACAAAAGCAGAAGAACTGTAAGACTGTGAATACATACTAAAGTTTTTCAGTGTACCCCAATGATTTACCAGCTTTTGCTATGGTTTTAATGTTCCCTACATAGGAAGCATCTTTTTAAAGAATTGTACAGCATTTTAACCATCCAATTTCCATTTACTTCAGTAGCTAAATTCTCTCAGCTCTTTGAAAATGTTGGGGTTAATGTCCTGGAAACAGAATTCAGTATCACAGCATGAAAGTCATTTTGAAGCCTTAGCCAAAATAAACACAGCACCCTTTCTGCAAAATCAAAAATATACAAATGGATGAACCCATCAAAGACACATGCACAGTAAATACACATGATTCAGTGATGTGTAACTTGCCATATATTTTTATCTGGCTGAAGCAGCGTATTAATACGATTTACAATCCAGCTGAAGAGCCGGCCATAAAGTGCTTTAGACATGGCATCTCGCACATCAGCTGCTTTGTCCACGGTGTTTGTTCGGATAATAGTCTCTCCACGTGTTACAACGCAGTGGGAGGTTAGGGCCTCTTGAAGCTCTTCTGACCCAATACTTAGGAGTGCAGCAGCTAAAAGACAGTGGAAAAAAAGATACGACTGTAATTATGCCATGGAAATAACCAGCATTATCCAACTGTTACCATGAGTTAGAGATTCTCATAAATACAGTCAAATTACATTTACAGAACCGACAATATTAAAATGTATTTACCATTATCTAAGGCTTCTGGGTTGGGAACCTCACTTTTATCTGTTTGGTGTTGTGAAGAAATGGCAGCAAACTCAATGTTTCCAGTATTTAAGATTCCAGTCAGAATTCTGTACACTGAGTACACTTCCTGTAAAAGATTGACAAGAAGCACTTTTAAGGAATCCAATTAGATATATAGATCATATTTAGGCTATGAAAGAAAAAGGTGGGCACTGGAATGGTTATTAAAGCTTGTAGCTTTAGACCAAGTTCTACAAATTCAAGTAAGATCCTACAGACACAGAAAACAGTGTGATACAGAATTGTTAATGGACTTGCCTGAGTACCAACAGAGATCTCAGGCTGGTCTTTGCTTCCAAGTGCGTGGTTATGCTTTCACAGTTCACTTATGTCATAAAAGAGATTCTGTGGCACAGGTCTGTATCCACAAAATCAAATGGCAGCCTGTGCACAG